GATATAAATTAAAAAATTACTTGAAGCATTAAACACTGGTAACTGGGGCAATATAATATAATAATAATAATAAATGAAAAACAAATATAGCAACAAGTAAACAATAAGCAGCAACAACAACTAACGGTTCAGGTGGCAGCAACAACAACAACAGCAACAACAACAATTTTTATACAATCAAATGGATAGATTTCTAAAATTTTCCACTCTTACGCCTTTTTTAGTGGGCGTGCCGCCAATAGCCGTCCCGTTTGTTGCTCAAGCAAAAAGTAAAAATCATTGAAAAAAAAAAGAAAAACTAAACACTGTCATATGTTTAATTATAGACATTATAAATAAAAAAATAAATAAAAAAACATAAAACTTAAAAAAAAAAAAAAAACAACTCGAGTATGGAACTCTGCTATAATAATGCAAACTGAATTTAGCTGGTGTATAACGAAAAATGCATTCGAATAAATCAATAAATGAACAAAATATGTAATAAAACAAAAAAAAATGCTTTTTTAATCCTTAGAAATATGAATGTCGTAATTTTCGCGATTTCATATACTTACGATCTAGGCGTGCTGCGGTTTGCGGCTTTGCTAATTGAATTCAAATATTTGGTTCAAGTCTCGGCTAAATGCAAGGCTGGCATCAAATTATTTCTGCTGTAAAATTGACTATATTTACTTTGTTGATGCTCTTTTACTTATAATTTATTTAAAGTAATTTAATCAAATTTTTTATTGCAGCACGTTTAATGTATTATATATTTTTCAATATCGTAACACCATTACAATTTAAAGTCTAAAGCTGGCTGACCAAAACGCTGAATTGAATTATCGGTTTGTGTCTTAGCTAACTCTCTTAAAATCCTTTTCTAACGTACCAAAGCATTCTGTTGTTCGTTTGCCACTTCGGTTCATTCGGATTTATTTCGCTTTCTCTTCCTGTTGGAATGTGGAAATTGCGATCGCTATTATAAATTAGTTGAAAATCGTTTGCCTTTGGCTGCGGTCGCGTCGTCAGAGCAGCTGCATTTTTATTTCGAATATTAATATTATCTTGTACTGTTGTGAAATATGAAATATGTTAGTGTGAGTGCCAGTGCTTTTAATTAATTAATTAGCACATTTATATATTATAAATAGCTATAGGCTCATCAGCATAACATGTTAAGCATGCTGGCCGGAAAATAAAAAGAGAATAGTTCGTCAAGCTGCTGCAGTAAGTCAAGATAAATACAGATATACTACATATTATATTTATTCCCTCTTAAAGACTCTTATAATTGCTAGGGTGCATTTTTATTAAAAACGCAATTCATGTTTGTTATATTCTTCATAGTTTCGTTTTCCTTCTGTTTCTCCTGTTCCTTGCACTGCACTTATCAGATCGCCTTCTTTCCTGTGAGCGACAATTTGTGTTTGGCATATAGGGAGGAAGAGAGACAGATAGTGTGAGCAAATGGCAAGCATACATTTCAGTGGCTTCCATTTTTTTCTGTTTCTTTTTGAGTAACGTGAATTGCACTTAACATGAGTGGAAGCTGCTGAACGCAGATTGGAAGTGCGTATATGTAACATTTCTCTTAAAGTGCAGACATAACTTTTTTTTTATGCTCTTAAAAGCGATTTACAAAAACTTCTTTGCTGCAAAAAAAAAAAAAAAAAAAAAATGTAGGATTAAAACGAGTTTGATTTTTGTGTTTTTCGCTTTTTTGTATGCCAAAAAAGTTGCTTTATTTTTGTTATTGTACGTTTCTCATTTGAATATAGGTATATATACATATGTGTATATATATATGTATGTATAAGTAATAATGAAATCGTTTCGTTTTTAAAAATTGTTCAAAGGCAAAAATGTACATAATTAATATATATACTCGTATGTTTTATGTAATTGATTATTGTTATTTATATATATATAGAATTCATTTGCTAATTGTTGAATGAAGTGCGCGAAAAAGTAAACTCTGAGTGTGTGAAAGACTAATGAACTGCTAATGCATTTCTAATGCAACGATCTGAATTGGAATGAAGACTAAGCAAATGTATTCTAAGCAATTTTAATTCGAATTTGAATTTGAATTTGAATTTCGATTTGGATAAATCCTACTATAATAACTATATCGACGTAACTGGCCAACGTATGATTAGAATGTTTGTATGTTTGCACTATTTATATATATATATATATGTAATATACATATGTAAATAATCGTATTGTATGTTCTATTAGGTTCTAAAAAACAGTTCTGTTTTGGTTTATCGATTTGTGAATATTGTATGTACAATAAATTCGTATTACATTTATTTATTGTATATGAGAACGTTCTTTGTTTTGTATTGGCTTTTCATTGGGTCTATATATGTATGTATGTAGTATGTATATATATATTCATATACATATTTCGTACTTATAAGGCAGCTGTTGAAAGCGAATTCCGTTCAACTGGCTGCTGACTGTCAAATCAGATGAACTCTGTAAACAAGTATATATTTGTATATACATATATGCCAGTAGATTATATATATATGTAGTATTCCTTGTCTCTATGGCCATATAGTTACATAATCTTAGTTTTCCTTTCGATTTGCTGCGCTAACGAGCTGTACAAATTGTTCTATCACAATTGTCACACACAGCTACAGAGCAATTTGTAAATGCAATACGAGTATGTATACTATATATATATATATATCAGTATATATATCAGAAATTTACCTAATGCATTCATTTTATTAACATCGCTTATCGTCTAAACATTTACAAAAACACAAAAACCTCACTAATACATAGATGTGCCTCGAAAACTATTCAAAAACTCTTGTCAATAAACTAGATTTGACGAAAATTCAAAACCAAACCAACCATTTTTGAGTATTTCAAAATGTATTAGTATCGAATTACTAATCCATTTTAATATTCTCAAAACTGGTTGGTTTTAGAATTTTCACTAGTTTTGTTGACATTCTTGGGGCAATTAGGTTTGTACCTAGATCTGTTATATATGTATATCATTATATACGAATGCATACGAATCGCACTTCTTGGTGTCTAGAACTAAATTGGTTTTTTGTAATTTTTGATTCTATACTGAATCTTTGTATGCAGTACTTTTGTGTTGTCTGTGTGTGTGTGTGTGTGTGTGTGTGTGTGTGTGTGTGGAATGCGCTGCACTTAACACAGGGTGTACATATTCAAAGGTAATGCTGCTAACATTCTGTTAAGGCTATGTTAATTAACATGGCAGTGGCGCACTTTACAAGTTTTTCTACATATTTAATGCTCGTTCGTGATGTACTATATAGGAGAGTATTCTTGCTGGAGAATATGTATCTTGATCTAGAATAGGTTTGTATATGATAACATGTGTTAAGGTTATATAAGGTATGCATCTGAGAGCATAGCAAATCGGTTAAGAAAATATCTTTCAGCACTTACAAGTTTTTGTTTACTCCTTCTCATATTCTCTATACTCTTTTCGTACCTTTCTTGTTTTTTTGGTCTATGCTAATCTTTTCAGTTTGCTTGACTTTGTTCTCATGTTTCTCATGTTTCATTTAAGTCTGTTGATTGTTTTTTCTACTCTATACATTGTCTTAAAGGCTTGTGGTCCACGCCCTCTGGTGCATACCTTATCTGAACTTTGCAAAATTTCTCTATAAATTGAACTCTATTCTGGTATTTTCTATATCTCATTTCATGAACGAGCATCATGCAGTCGGCTACAACCAACTGCAACTGTCTCACCTATATACTTTCTGTTTTCACGCAGCGCATTCGAAATTCGGCCAAGCCGAAACTTTAATTATATCTCGCAATTCTCATTTACATAGCTGATGAAATTTGCTGATATTGTTGTTGTTGTTGCGACTGTTGTTGCTGCGGCGGCGGCGACATCAGTTGCTGCTGTGCTTGCTGCTGCTGCTGCTGCTGTTGGACATATTGCTGCTGCTGCATGATTCCCTGATGCTGTTGCGCCTGCTGCTGCTGGGCAGCAACTGCTGCAGCCGCATTCTGTTGCGTGGTTGCCTCCGAAGTCTTCAGGAAATATGTTATCAAATCGATGGGCAGCGGGAATACAATAGTTGAGTTCTTCTCCGCGGATATGGTATTGAGTGTCTGCGGCAATAAAAAATGTATGTGTGTGTGTATATGATTTATATATACATTAAGCCACATAAAACAAAATAAAATAAATACAAAGGAAATTTATGTATGTTCACAGACTTTGCTGGTATATATCAGTTTATATCTATRTATATATTTATTAATATAAAAATATGAGTATATGAGCATATTGGTTGACCACGCCTACCTGCAGATAGCGCAGCTGCAGCGCTGCCGGCGAATCGCCAATCACCTCGGATGCCTCACGCAGCGCTCTCGATGCTTTCTGCTCGCCCTCGGCGGCAATAACTTTGGCCCGTGCCTCACGTGCTGCCTCAGCCTCGGCGGCCATGGCTCGTTGCAGCTGGACGGGCAAACGCACATCCTTGCTGTGGTTTGTCCAGGAGAGAAGAAGAGTTTACTATTAGCCATGTTGCAAGCACTTAGCCCAGCCGGGCAGCGTGCTCGTGTTAGCTGTAAACTAAAAAGCAACCAAGCCAACGAATTCCCCGAACTGCAAAGTTTCAATGCCATTTGAGCTCTCAGTTGAGTGGGTCGAACAGTAAAGGTCATTAGGATGCTTGTACGTTGTTTAGCCCAGCATCTGTGTGATTGATGTGAGACGAAATGTTGTGGAGCAATGGAAATTTGATGCGCGCTCAATGAAGGAAATCTTGTGAGAAGAAAATTGCGTGGAAATTGAACATGCTTTTTGTTGTGTGGCTAGTATTTTGATGAACTGCGCAACAAATACTTCAAATGTATTGAAGCAGAATCAAGAGAATCGACATTTATCCATTTCCCAGAAATATTTGCTCACAACATATTTCAACTTCAAGACCAACCAAAAAGGGATCAGCAAATTGAGTTCTTATATACATACGTATGAGCCTTAAGGGTATATCAACTTTGACTATGAGAGCATAGGCTTCTATTCTTCTATCCACAACGACAACAACCACAACATTTGGGCCATCAAATGTTGAGCATATTTTATTGGACATGACAACAAAAATTTATCGGCTGATTAATTTCATAAAAATATTTCTTGCGGATGCGTAAAGCTGACGTCGAAGACTGTCATAAAAAAATGTAACAGAATTTTCATAGAGAGACGCACGCACAAAAGAGCCACAAAAAAAAAAAAAAAAAAAAAAAAAAAAACGGGCCAATGGCCAGCAGCAACAACAAAGAATACTTGACGTTGTTTTGGCCATTGCAGCAGCTAAAACATCACCACAAACTGTTGTTGTTGTTGTTGTTGCTGTTGCTGCTAGCCATTTTGTTGGTCATGTGTTTGACAAGCTGTCAGCTGGCCAGACCTTGAAGCCTGGAACAGCGGGCGCATCCACTTGTCCCACAGCGCGCTTAATAATAAATTATGACAGCCGACAAAGGCCAATACACACGCCTACACTGTAATAAAAAAAAATTTAGAGAGAGAGAGGGAGCGAGACAGGTAGAAGGCACACAACCCAACCTACATTTTTGACATAGAAACCTGTGTAAAGGGTGTGCGACTGTTTGGGTGTGTATGTGTGTGCGAGTGTGTGTGTGTGTGTGTGTGTGACAGAAAAGTTGCACTACTTACATTTCAACACGTTCAACTTTGATGCCCCAAGCATCGGTCGCTTCGTCGAGCTGAACCTGTTTATGATTTGGCCCACATAGCATAGCCAGGTGTGTGTACATATGTGTGTGTGTGTGCCGAAATTGTAATATGTGTTTGAGTGTGTGTTTGAAAATAGCAGTAGAAAAACACATTAGTTTTTGTTTACACACACGTTTTTTTCTGTTTTTTTTTTTTTTTTTTTTCATGCTGTTAACTGTGATGCTTTTCACATGTTTCTTTCTGTCGCTTGTATTTGGGGAGTTTCTTTTGGTTTGGTTTGGTTTTGCCTCTTTTTGTTTGCACATTGTTTTTGTGGGTCGTTGCAGCATCCTTGAAACCGTTAAACTGAATGGAAGGAAAGAAAACTGCAGCACTTGCTGCTGGCACAAGCGACGCGTTTGCCAACTTGGCCAACTCGCCCGACTTGGCATTCTAGCCATGTTCGACGTGAGTTTTCAGCCTGATTTTGAACTATTTTTCATATGGCCATAAAACGGCAAAATAAATAAATAAGAAGCAGCTGAAATTGGAGTCGTGGCTGAAAAGCATCTAGCTAAAAGCTAGAAATTCATGGATTTTGGTTTAAACTGCCGCAGCAACTGTCCAGATATGCTGCAGTGAGGCAACACTGAGCGAAAACTGGGGGTGTTTAGCTAAACATTGTTTAGCTGCTGAAGAAAACTTTAAAATACTAAATAAATATATTTAAAAATACTTTTAATTTGTCATTCAAATAATCCTAAATAATTAAAAAATTTCATTACTTAAATTTAAAAAAAAAAAAAATTCTGAAAAATTATTTAAAATTTTAAATATAAAAATTGTTTTTTTTTTCTTGTTAACAAAAATTCAACAAAATTCAATTTGCTGCTAAGTTTAAAAGTTCAAGCAACTTGCTTTTAATTTTGCTAAGTGTAGAGCGCCGCTTTGGATTTGCTGAACATTTCTGGCCAGGCTTATGACGGCAGATTTCGTGCCTGTCTTTTATTTATATTTTTTGGCAGCTGCTGCAAAACTTGCAATTAGCAATTAATATTTAGTATTCAGTTTGCGTGCAGAACTCTTAAAGTCGCTGAATAATTAGCAGCAGTCGGCAGTCGGCAGTCGGCAGTCAGCCAGCATGCTTTCTGGGGGGCGCGGGGGTCGGACAGTTGGCGGTTGGCACAGTGCACATAAGTCAATTACGTGCAAAAAGACAGGGGCCATAAAGGACTTAGGCAGCCTTGCTTGCAACAATTGTGTGCCGGTCGGTGTATATGCGCGTGTCTGTGTCTGTGTGTGTGTGTGTGTGGTACTCACCTGCATGGTGCCGGAAATCGTCATACGCTCGCTGAGTATCTCATGCAAATGCCGAGTTCCCATTGTGTTTCGTAGAGTAGTCTGTGCCAGTAGTCTGGTCGAATGGTGAGCATTCTCCACGTTCGCTATAGAGACGGTCGCATTTGATACGCGATAGTAAACCACTGCATCCACCGAAACCGTAACGCTATCCTTTGTGAGAACCTACAAGATGCAGTGGATTTTTTTTTTTTTTTTTTTTTTTGTTCTATGTTTTCTTTGCTTTTTTTTTTTTTTTTTTTTTGTTCTATGTTTTCTTTGCTATTTGTTTTTTATTGTTTTGGTATTCTTTTTTGCTTGCTAGTTCGTCTCTATTTGCGTGCTGCTTGCGTTTTTCTTATTATTATTATTTTTGTTGTTGCTCTATTGTTGCATTGCTTTTTTGTTTGCTTGTTATTCTTTTATTTAGATTATGCATATTATTGTTTGCCAGTGTCAGTGTGCGTGTGTGTGTGTGTCTATTGTTGAGTGTGTGTGTGTGTGCACTGATAAGCTGCATATAAGCTAAAGCTTTCATATTTGTATACCCTTGCTGTGGAGTCGTAAGAGTGGACTACATAAATTAGATAAATTCGAGTTGGTTTATAGAAGAAGGTTTAAGATATTATATAGCATATATATATAGCAAAGTTACGATTTGCTGTGTATCAACTATAGCGTATTTCCAACTTCAACTTCATCCATAAGAGTATCCAAACGGCGGCGAAGCCGTTGATAAAAGTTGCTACTCACTTTTGCAGCTGTATCTGTGCTTGGCTCGTATCTTGCATCTAAATATGAATAATTTAGTGGCTGCTGCTGCAGCTGCACTTTTGCTTAGAATGGCATAATGCACACGAAATGCACTTGTTTTGGAGCGTCTTCAGCTGGCGCTTGGACGTGAACGTGATTGTGGTATTTGCCTTATTAGAGCTAAGTGCAGAGTGCAAACTTTGACGCCAAACAGAGAGAGAGAGAGAGAGAGAGGGACAGAGACAGATAGAGAGAGGGCGAGTGTGAGAGAGACGCTAGACAATATGGTCTACAGACAAGCGAAAATCGTGGCTTTTATTTTGATTATTGCCTTGGCTTGTGTGAGTGTATGTGTGTGTTTGTATGCTATAATAAAGCCATTTTTCATTGTCCTTTTATTTTTGACTATTGCGTGTCACATTTTAGCTGCTTATGTCGAGCGCTTCACATACAAGAGACAAGATACAAGTTGCTGAGTTTGTGGTTTGTTTTTGTTTGTATTTATTTTCTTTATTTTTATATTGCTTTGTGATATGAGCTCGATAGCGATACGTGGAGCAAACTCAAGGGCTTTGACGTTACAGTGTATAATATATAGGTATGTTTATTGCGCAAAAATCGTATGTATTGATATGGATATATACATATATATTGATATATGCATATAGTCTAAATATAGTACAGAATTATTTACAACAACAAAAGAGTATGAAATCAAATTATTGCAAATGAAGAGGCAGACAAAACGACGAAATGAACTCAAATGTACAGGAAAAGAACATAGGGTTGTTAGTACAGCATGTTTATAAATAAGTTAGAGGCAAGAGAGGGAGCGAAAGAGACAGAGAAAGAGAGGGGTAGCAAATAGATAGAGATAGCGATATATGTTTTCTTTTGTAAATGTTATTTATTTATTTTTATTTTTTTTTTTGGTTCCTGCTGCTTACTTACTCGCGTCTTTTATCTTCTCTTTACTTACTTACAACCTTCTATCTCACTCGGCCGCTATCGGAATTCTCGTATTTTGTTGACCTGCCCAGGAGGCAAGAAAAGAAAAAACATGAGCTGAGCGCCTATACCCCGAAAACTCGAAACTCAAACAGTTTGAGAAAGCCCATCAAAACTATTTGCACCAAAAGGCAAAAGTTTTCTACGCCTTCTTCTTCTTCTTTTTTTTGCGCTCTCCCAAGTTGAGATTTTTACGACCTGGCTACATTTCGGGGCGGTTACAGTTTGGCATTATGGGGGACGGGTGGGCGTGGCGTGTCGTGTCTAGACCGCTTTTTATTGTACACTCTGGGCCGGGTGTCAATGTTGTTTAGCATCGTTCGGTGGCTGCTGCTCAAGTATTTTTATGCGCTTGCCACACAAACGCAAAAAATAAGGAAAAACATTTTGATTTTCCCATATTAGCATAAAAATCAACTGAAAATCAATTGAAAATGAGTGAAGTCCTTTCGCATACTTAATTGAATTGAATGCGCTCAACTGTGCGTATACTTAATTACAATGAAATGATTTAATATGGTCCACTTTGCGTATACTTAATTCTAGTTGGCTTTCTCACTTGACCCGCTTAGAGAGTGGGCTAAACAAATAGAAAAGAAAAACGCTACAATTTTAGCCATTTGCAGCTTTATTTAACTTTAGCTCGGTTAACTGTTCAGGCCACCAACATTTTGGCCACTTGCTTAAGTTATTTATCGTTCGCTTAAGTTCTTAAATGTGAGAGTTTAGAAATGCTGAAATTTATTCTGCATAGTCTGTCTATGTAGTCCGCTCTAAATCAATTTTTGTCGGGAACAAAGGCTTACAATTCGAACAATAGACGAGAGATAGTGTGAGTGTGTGTATGTGTGTGTGTGTGAGGGTGGAATAAATTGGCTGTAAATTGTTGAAATGACGCAGGTATCTATGTGTGAATTGTGTGTGTGTGTGTGTGTGCATGGCATATCTATAGAGTATAAATGAGAGAGAACAATGGAACGAACATGAACTGAACAATTGATAAATTATAAATTTGTAATTAATATAATTTTATGGAATTTAATTAATTCGAAACAAATGGATTTTTAACAATTTTCATACATATTTGTTTATACACTGTAACAGCTAAACTAATGAGTTTTGTTGTCATATATATATAGAGAGAGAGAGCTATATATATATAACTGTATAATTTATTACAATTTGCACAGCGTTTAGCTAGAAATTTCTGTTATTTTTATTTGCATTTATATTTCTCTTATTTTTCATCCAAATGTAAATCATATTTCAACTGAAAAACATAGCTAAAACCGGATGCATATAGCTGACTATGACTGAGTGGGCTAAGGGTAGACAGGGGGCGAGGCATATACGGTGAGTGAAATAGAGACAGAGAGAGAGAGGGATAGAGAGAGAGAGAGAGAGAGATAGCAATAATGTGGAGCTAGAGAGAGTAGCGGGAATTGAATTAAAGATGCGATTTAATGCATTTTCCATTTAGATTTCGTTGGTGTTGCGAAAACACCGATGTTGCTTGGTACTATATATATATTTATATAAATATATGCATATTTCTATGTATAGAGATACAGTTACTAGGTTCTAGTGTTGACTGAGCTAACGCTATTTGTTTTACAGTTACGCTGGGCGAGCGGGCGGCGGCATTTTGCTCTTCTTTGATTTTCATGCGTGCGAAATTTGTTTTTGTTTTTTTTTTCTTGTTGCTGCGATTTTGGTTTTGTTCTTTTTGTATTTTCTTTTTTAGTATTTATAAATTTGTTGTTGGAGTGTCACCCACATTTAAACAGCCTAAACCACGCAAAACACACATAGATGAACTCGACATGGATTGCTTGCTTGTTATACATATATATATATATATATATGCATGATCTCTTTTATTGTTGGGGTGCGTACGTTTGTTTTAGCGTCCTTCGCTAGTGCTCAAACAGAACAAATGTTAACGGTTATTTAGTTAGTTTGGTAAAGTACAATCAATATACGAATATATTTCATAAATTTGTCGGAAACTATAAAGCATGTATATACGATCATGTATTTGTTAGTACGTATATATATGTATATATATATATGTGTGTGTGTGTGTGTGTTTGTGATAACTAAACTAAAACTGTACAATAAATGAAAACAACAAATGTTGGATATTCAATTATCGAATGATTTGTACTTGGACTTAATTTGAGAACCAACAATATGTATATGTATGTATGTATGTATATGAGTGTGTGTATGTACGAGTTTTAAGAGTTTTTCATTTTGTTTTTATATTATTTTTGGATTTTTGGATTTTTTGTTTTTGTTTTGTTTTTTATTTAAGTTTTTGTTTTGACAGTTAGAAAGCTTTTTAGAATAGACATTTATGGAAATATATATATATTTAGCATGCTCTCAAAAATATTATTCGAACGGAGGGAGAGTGGGGGTATATCAAAAAGTAGGTGCATTTGGTTATATTCGTGTAACTGTTCTTTTTTTTTTTCATAATATATTATTAGTATCTTTTGTTTTTTTCATTGGGGTTTTATTGTTTAGGGTTTTTTATATAACAAAAACAATTGTTTTGCTAAACCAAAACCAACATAGCTCAAAAACAAAATCAGTATATATAGAGAGAGGTATATATAGAGTTATAGAGCGTGGGTAGACAGAGAGAGAGAGAGAGAGAGAGAGAGACATAGAGAGAAAGAAACAGAGAGAGAGACAGAGAGAGATAGAGAGGGAGTTATTTAGAGCCAAACAGCTTGTGAGGCTGTTTAGCTTATTTGGTACGAGCGGGCGAGTGAGCAAGACACAGTTAAAATTACACAAAGAGATAGAGAGACAGAGAGAGATAGAGAGTGAGATAGACTGCTTTGTTTGTTGTGTGTGCATTCAAGTTCAATGAAATTTCTTTCAGTGTATCGGCTAGCTTTCTGTTTACTACACAAAACCTAAGCTATGTGCGTGTGTGAGTATCTGGAATGTGTATCTGTGTGTGTGTTGCTGTGTGGGTGTGTATATACCCTGTGTTCAGTGAACAAATATTTTCACATACATTTTCATTTTCAGTTTCAATCGAGCGAGCCAATTTTGATTATAAATTTTTGTTCAGTTTCGTTTTTGCTTTCAGCTTTTTGATTTTTGCCACCTTCCCCATCCCCCACTGGGCCCCGCCCAACCAATTAGTAAACATCATTACTGTGTGTGTCTGTGCATTAAGGGTGCTGCTCTGTCTGAACACAGAGCATCAGGTTATAAGTTTCAGTTGATATGCTCAGCACTTGCTTAGTTTTTTTTATCGATTTTTTTTTGGGGGGTTTTCTAATTGGCAAAAAACACAATCAGAGTTATTTTTGTCAACTATGCAAATTGTAATAAAGTTGAAGTTTAAAGACTCTTAAAGACACCGAAAACCAAACGAACCGAAGTGGAAAAGAAGGAATTTAACAGTAAATAATAAATGAATGCGACACGAATATCATTTCGTATGCATTTTTCACACAACAACAACGACAACAACAACGAGATGGTTAAAAGGAAACGTAAAAATTGGCATTAAAGTTGCAGTTGTATGAGGCCGCAGTGTCCTTCATGCGTTTTATAAAAAAAAGGGGAAAAAAATGATCAAAGACAAAAAAGAGAACCGGGTATAAGGATAAAACCCAAAAATGAAAACGATAAAAATATAATGGAAAATTGTAAAAATGTTGGCGAACAGAAAGAACAGAAAAATTTGGTAAGAAAGTTAAACCAATACATATATACATATATACATATGTATTTCTATATATATGTATATGTAAATAGGGTATATGGAAAAGCTAGTGAAAAATTGTCGTAAGCATAATTGTGTTTGCTCCAAGTGACGTCATCGTTAAATACGTTTTTGCCTTGCTCTAGTTATTGCACTTCGTTAAACCTTGCCACGCGCATTATGATATTAAAAGCCAATAAATAATGAGGCGGGCAAATGCATAGAAATAGAAATGAAAATCAAATAAAATGGAATACGCATATGTTTTGCATGTGTGTGTGGATGTGTGTGTATGTGTGTGTTGTGCGTGTGTGTGTGTGTGTGTTGTGGGCTAGTGCATAACCAATGACAATTATGATAACAACTAAATTGGCAACATTAAAAACGACAACGATTACCATATATGTAAATAGCATTTAAAGCATACAACAAATACAACTATCAACAACAACAACATCAAGAATATTAGAGTGTGAAAATGTGTGTGTGTGTGTGACCGCAAACAAAATGCAAAAAGAAAAGTGAGCAATAGCAACTAAAGTGCAGCTGCGGCTGCTGCTGCTGTTGCTGCTGCTGCTGTTGCTGCTTCCTCCTGTTAGTTGTGTGGTGTGTGTGTGTGTGCGTGTGTATGTGGCTTAGGAAAGTATCTTAGCTGTTTTTGAAAAGTTAAAGACAGAAAGAAGGAAAGCGGAGTAGAGAGAGAGAAAGGGAGAGCTGGAAGGAAACACAGTTACGCAGGAAAACGCAAAGGAAAAAAAAAACGACAAGAAGAAAGAAAAGCAACTGAAATGAAAACCAAAGTAAACAGCATGACATGCGATAACAACAAGAAGGAGAAGAACAACAACAAGAACAACAACACATGTAAAGGAAAATACACACACAGCTATGCAAAAGGAAACGAAAGCAAAGCAAAGAAAACGTTGCGTATGCGTAATTTACGCTCCAGTTGCGTATGCTGCATATGTGTGTGTGTGTGTGTGTGCCTTGTCATATGAGCAACGTCTAACAGTAATTGTAGCTGTGTAGTGTGTGCGTGTGTGTGTGAGTTTAGTTGGGGGCCAAAAACAAATCGAAATTTTTGGTAAACAAATTGTGTGGCAAAAGCTAAAAGTTTTTCGTTTTTAAAGTATTTCACTTGTTTTTCTTTTTTGGTTTTTTTTTTTTTTTTTTTTTAGTTGGCAGCGTTTAAATGGTCAGCTGTGTAGGTGTTGGTGAAGATATGTACGTGTGTGCTGATTTGTATGTGTGTGTGTGTCTGAGAGAGTATATCAACAACAACAACAACACATAGACGAAAAGTTGTTGCTGCTGCCAAAAAAAAAAGGAAACAAAAAATAGAAAAGAAAATAGCAACGGACTTACCTCCTGTGGTGGCACATCGTAGGTGCGAGTACGTAAATCGACGCGTGCATATGAATCAATGCAGGGCAATATGAAGAAAATGCCTGCAAAGTAGAGTAGAGAGGAAAGGAGGGAAAGGAAGAGAGAAAGAGACAATGCATTTTAGGGCATTTAAACAGTTTTGCAAGTCATAATCTGCAGCTGGGCAGCGTAGAGCGTTGAAAGTGACAGCCACTCCAGTGGTGTGGCCCCCAAAAATAAAAACAAGTTGACGCTAATTTGGAGCAAGTGCAGCTATTAACACAAATTCACGACGCCAGCGACACTTCAATTTGCATAGCTGCAGCCCCAGGCGCTCCCCAGCCTCCCCACTTCACTCACCTGGACCCTTGGCGCCGCCCTGCATGAGTCGACCCAGGCGAAAGATAACCGCGCGCTCGTATTCCTGCACCACCTGTAAAAAACGAGAGATTGAGCGAGAAAAGAAAAGAGAGTGAGAGAGAGAGAGAGAGAGAGGGGCAACGAAACGTGAGTAAAATGTGCAAAATGAAATTGAAAACTCGGCAAGCAACGGCCATGAGCTGCAATTTCTTAGGGAATTTTATTCTTTGGCCTGCAGCTGCAGCACTTTTTTTTTTTTTTTAATAATGATTTATCTGCATAGCTCAGCTGGCATTTCATGCGTAATAAAGTATTATGCATTACTAACTAGCTATTATCCATCTTTGTCTGAGTAAATTCCTCTTCATTTTGTGTTATCTATCACTTTGCACACTTTTTCCTTTATTCCTATTTAAATGCATTTTTAAGCTTCGTTTTAACTAATTGCCCGAGTTTTCTCGACAAAAAAATGGCTGAACATAAATTAAATCAGTCAGACGATAAGCTGAGCTAAAATTATCTTGGCACTTGCAATCGATAATAAAAACATGAGCTTATACCAAGATTTTCCATGTTTCCATATCCGAGTCAAGTGAGAGACGGAAGATGTTTTAATTGCATTATCATAAGCTAGTTATTTCAGTGAAAATCTAGTTTTTTCTGACTCTTCGGGCTGTCTGTGTGTTGGCCATCGATTAGTCAGTTAATTAGCAAATAGTTTCTGTTCTGGCTAATGGTAATGCATTATACATAAGTAATTTACTTAAATGGTCAGTTAGACACTTGAGCTCGTCAGTTAGTCAATCTCTTAGTTGGTCAATCAATTCTTTTCTGAATCATTGAGTTTTCATATCAATCAATTGGGACTTTTTTATGTTAATCAAGCAGTTAGGCAACTAGTGTGTCTTTTGATTAATTAGTAAATTGATAAATTAGTAAGCTAATAGTTAGCCAATCGGTCAATCTATTAGCAAGCTTTTTTCTGGCAATCAGTCAGACAACCAGTCAGTCAGTCGGTCAATCAGTCAGACATTTAGTAAATCAACGATTAAAAATCAGTCAATCAAAAAGTTTTCGAGTCAATCTTTAAATATATCCAATTTCATATTATCAAGCAGTTAGTCAATCACTCAATATGAGAGTTAGTCAATCAAGCAATCTATCAATGGTCAGTCCGTCATTTAGTTATTGATACTGCATCAGTGGGCAGGTCAGTTCATCAATAAGTCGTATGATAAGCCAGTTAGCCAAAAAGACAGCCAGTCAGCTCTTAATATTTTCAATGAGTAAAGCCTTTAGTCATTTAATCGCACACTTAGTCAATCCATCAATCATTCAAACCCAGCTATAATCCTCAAGTCCATTCATGCGTCAGTCAGTCACTCGCTAAGCCTTGGCTTATTGCCATTGCAGCCACGTCCTTTCACTTTGCATATACATACATACATATATATTTAAATTGTGACCCACTGCAATAGAGAGTTGCATTTGATTGACAATGGGGCTTACCTTGAAGCAGACGAACAGGCTGAAGGGCAGCGTCATTATCACTAGTGCCACGGATAGAAATATGAGCAATTTGCCGCATGTTGACGCCTTGTCGCTGATTTCCTCGTCCGCTGCAGAGAAAAGGAGAAATTATAGCGCAAAATGGAAGCAACACAGCGAAAATGCTGCAAAGTTCAAATCGAGTTAACAAACACGCACAGAAAAAAAATAACTCAAAACATGTATATATATTTATATTCTTATATAGCTGTATATATCTCGCGACGACGCTAAAAATGTCAAATGCCAAATATAAAATTTCCACAAAAAATGTTTAGCCAACAAAAATTCGCAAGTTTCTATTGTTGCCTTCAACAAGTCGAGGCCCCGAGAGAGAGAGAGAGAGATATCAAAAATAGTTTGTTATGCATCGGGGTACTTTATAAAAATAAGAATACTAAGAAACTGTAGCATACTTAGGAGCGCGCGACAGTTGTACCATAAAAAGTTAGAGATAATAGCAATAAAAGAAGTTTAAATAACAAATATGTAATAAGGAAATAATCGTAGTTAAAGAGTAGTTAAGCTTTAGTTCTGTGTATTTTTGTATGGTTCTGTCTGTTGGGAATGTGGATAGGGTAATTGATTATTTATATATTTATTTTATTTTTGTTTTTGTCTTCTTCAGTTCTTGGCCAAGCATTGGCATGAGAGAGTTCCACTATTCAAATTCATTGAAAATACTCTTCAAGTATTTCTTTTTTTACCAATAAATGAAAAGGTAAAAAATTATACAATTAACATTGAAAATAAAAATAAAAATTCATTCTATTTTTTATTTTTTTATTCTGTATTCAATCTTCATTTCCTTTTCCAAATTTGTGCGACTTACAATAGAGAAATCCATGTGAATGTTTTGCTTGTGTATCTGGAAGAATACGATAAATCAAATATATTTGAAAAATTAATAGGACTTGAGGAGTGGGCTGGGGGGCGCAGGGCGCGAGCGCGGGGCGCGGGTCGTGGGTCATGGGGCGTGGCATATACTCTTTCAGTTTACTTTTGTCATTTTTGGATTGTTGTCATAATTTTTGATGACGTGTTCGCTGCATGCAAAAGCCACTAATTAGTTAATTGGAACTAAAGCTAAAGCGGCAAAAACAAAAAATCATAAATGTTGCATGCCATGCATTTAAATGCTATTTGCCGCGCATTGCGGCCGTTGCAGTTACAGTTTGTCTTGCGGTTTTTGGCTTGCGACTGCGACTGGCAATTAGTGTCGCTTAAAAATTTTTTTTTTTTTTTTGTAGTTGCTTTGCTCTTCGTCCGCCTTCCGTTTCGGTTTCAATTACAGTTCATTGAGAACTTGCAACAATGCCAAGCGCTCATCGTCAAGCAAAGTGTTTTTAACGAGCTCACACACACAAACACACAGAAACACACCCACACAGACACAGTCACAGGCACAGGCACAGGCACACAGACATCAAAACCAAAAGCCTGGGTGGCAAAAGCTGCAAATAGCTGAAACTCTGCGCAATGGCAACTTTGATGGGTATTTGTGGGTAACTACCTATAGAAGAGCACGTTAAGCCAACAAGCTGTTAAACATTTTGCCCAAGGACCAACTTGGGCCCGCACGAAACTTTTATTGAAATTGATTTCGAAATAATTGCAATGGCGTTGACGTCGAATTTGAATGTGCGGATGGAAATGCGGATGCGGATGCGGATGCGGATGGGAATGGGTATGGAATGGGAACGAGGTGTCGGTTGAAAGCTGACAAATGAAGGTCTCTTATTTATGTGTCTGTGTGTGTGTTTGTGTTTGTGGCTGTGGTAATAGATTTATAGCCAGAGAGCTAAATTTAAAAATAAACCAGCATCAAATTGTAATTAGTTGGAAGGGGAAACAAGTATTATAGATATTAGCCTAGGCTCTTTGCGTTACATTTTTCGCAATCAGTCGAGTTAAGTCAGCTAATGCACTCTGTGAGAGGAAAGACATTAGAGCGCTGTAGCTGTGTAGCGCAGTGTCGAGTAGTTGGCTTACGGTTAAATTAACTTTTAAAACTAGGTTAAATAGGCGCTCGCAATATGTATAGAGTTAAGTAAGAGCTTAGCCAGAGCAAATCAGTGGCAAAAGTGGTAAAGTTTGTAAGCTGGCGGAACAAAATTTACGTTTTGAATTAGTACATTTTTCAAGTAGTGAACGTTACAATTAGTTAGGCAATATATACAAAAATACTGTAAGATATACATATGTAATATTATATATTTATACATCTGTCTGCAGTTGAATACTCACTTAAGAATGCTGCATAGAACAGCATTCAAATCAAAGGAGGCTTTATCATTTTTTTTTTATATATTGCTAATATTAGTTTTTCATTTTTTATTTTATTTAATTTTTTTTTTTTTTTTTATTTATTTATTTTTTTTTTACTATATTTTTCTTTCCATTTCTTTCAGTTCTTTTTTTTTTTTTTTTACACTTATGAAGCCTATATAAATGCCATTTATATTTCGAACATAATTTTTTTTTATTTTTTTTATGCTTTTCCATAACTCGCATTTCTCTCTATTCAAATATTTTTTTTTTTTTTTTTTTTTTTATTTCGAGCAGAAATTTCTGTTCATATTTTTATGCTTTTCTTTTTTTTTTTTTTTTTTTTTTGTAATACCTTAAAATTTAAGCTATATTTAGCTTACTTTTTTTTTTTTTTTTTTTTTTTTTTGATAAGGATAAGATTGGTTTTTGCGCTTATGATAATTCTTTTTTTTTATTTTTTTTTGTTAATACGCGCTGCCAGCCAAAAAACAGCATGTGGTCCATAATTTTTTAATGACCGACCAGCCAGCGGCTGTCAAAGAGACCACCCCCCCCTCCACAGTCTTTTTTTTTTTTTTTTTTTTCTTTTGACGCCCCTGCACGCATACGTCATAGCACAGCAGCTTTTTTTTTATTTTTTTTTGTTGAAAATGGGTCACGTTGTTGTTGTTCTGCTGTTATTTTTTTTTTTTTGTTTTTTTTTGCTGTTGCTGTTGCCGTTTCTCTTGTTATATACGAGTCTCTGTTTTTTTTTTTTTTTTTTGTTGAGGCACTCTGATTGAATTTTGCATGCAAAATGCGTGCATGCCAAAAATTTTTTTTTGCCTGGCTTTACGGCTGCCAACTCTTTTGTTCAGCCTAATGAAGCGATTAACGTGCATACAAGATGATACATTAGGCTCACACACACCCATATATACTCCGCTCTACATGATTAGCTGGCAAGACTTGGAAAATATATACTTTGTATATGAGAAGTTTCCGCTCAGCTTTTTTTCTGATCAGTTGGCAGCCAAATTGCATCAATAAATGATGAGCCTGTTGAGTGAAGTGAGTGCAAAACGTTTGCCATTTACGCTAATGAAATTGGCAACAAAAATTGCCATTAAAAATAAATGCGAGGGCGAACCAAAAAAATTCTATGTCTGATCTAACTAAAATATAATAAGTGAAATTAATGGGAAGTGATAAAAAAAGACTACTAAAATCAAGAGAGAAAAAATAAACTAAATCATATATAGAGTTTAGTCTTGCGCTATGCCAAGTTCACCAATTCTTCAGACTACCCTCGTAGAATTTTATGTACATTAAGAATTCATGAAGATATTAAAAAGCAGCGCTTCAAAAATTGTGTAGCATATTTTTAAGGGCAGCCGCGCAACAAGTTCATAAAGAATGTTTTCAACTGAAAAATAAAATATAAAATGAAAGCAAAAAAGAAAAAAAAAAGCCAGCAAGCAGCTTCAATTTCTTGTTGATATATACACAATTAGTTATATCTCTATATATGTATCTGTGTATATATGTTTATTAATATATGTACAGGCATTTCCCAGGCATTTGCACTATGCACTCTTCCTCACTCACCTCGTCGCTGCTCGGCTCTGTGAATGGCCTGCTGCTGATGCGATTGCTGCATCAACGCATGATGGCTATGTGGCAGCGGTAGCTGCTGCTGCTGCTGTTGTTGGATTGGCTGCTGCTGCATTTGCTGCTGTTGCTGCTGCTGCTGCTGCTGCTGCTGTGGTTGCTGTTGGTGGTGTTCGCGTTCTCTTAATTGAGGTGGCTGTTGTTGCTGCTGCAGATGCAACTGCTGCGGCGGCGGCTGCTGCTGCTGCTGCTGCTGCTGTGGCTGCTGGTGATGGTGCTGCATGCTTGGTGTGCCTGTTATGGGCAGCTGGTGGTCCCTGTCGCTTGTCGTTGATGCCGCCTCAACGGTCGCTGTTGGCGCTGGCGCTGGCGGTGCAAATGTGCTGGTGCTGCTGGTGGCCACCACACGGTGCGTCTGCTGTGGATGAAGTGGTCGATGCAGCTGATGATCCCGATGCTCCATATCCATCATCGAGTCGGGCATCAAGCCGCGCTCACAAAACGACGCCAGTGCGACGGTTGTGCGAGGCGTCTAGTGCGTCGGGCGTAACGGGCAGGCAGCGGAACAGTCAACTATTTGGCTACACCAGCCAATTGCATGACCACAGCGAGTGAGATGGAGAGAGAAGGAGAAGAGTACACGCACTTCCACTTTTCCACTTTTCTTTCGCGGCTCACACACTTAAACAAATTGAATTGTATGTATACACATACACACACTCACTCACTCACTCACTCATACACGCACACGCGCTCACACACTACTCTGGGCTAGTTTCCTAGCTAGCACTCCTTGGCCATCCAGGCTGCGTTCTCATATATATATATATGCATATATATAGTTTTATCTCCGACTTCTGCTGCTTCTTCAACTTGGGCTGTTGCCGCTGCCTCGCTCAGAATCCAACTGAAAGTGTGCTGGCAGCGCGCATCCTTTTTATCCAGGAGCAGAGCTTTGCGTGAGAGTGCAAAAACTTTGTTATCAACAGAGCAGCAGCAGCAGCAGCAGCAGTAGCAGCGCCAGCGGCAGCAGATGAGCATAGTCCGCAGCAGCTGAGCAGCCGTTGAGGAGAGGCAGAGCAAGAGCTGGCTGCCGTTGTTAGGGTAGCGCCATTTCTCATGGCAAATGATCAAAGAGCTTTTATTTTTTTTATTTTTTATTTTCCTTTTGCTGCGTTGCAGCAGTTGCAATGGCAACAGCAGCCACCGCAGCAGCAGCAGCAGTAAGAGCATTAGCAGTAGCAGCCCCTTCCAGCTTTTACCTTTTCCAGCTTGCACTGACCTTGCGCATTGTGCGACACGTTAACATTTTGTTGCCTGGCCTGAACTTCAGGAATAAAGCTTACCTCGCAAGCTTTCGAGTAGGGGAAATGAGTTGAAGAGAAAGTGGAAGTCAGAAACTGAGAGAGAGAGAGAGAGACTGAGAGAGAGTCAGAGTTGTTGGTGAGTATTTAGCACAGAGTGTGCTAAAAATTCCTGTGGCTGGGGCTCGACTCGACTCGAATCGAATCGCAGCCGATGTCCGTTTCGTGTGCAGGTGACAAAAATGTATTTATGACACTTGCCGGGACTGTTGCTGCTACTGCTGCTGGTGGTGTTGCTGGTGTTGCTGTTTCTGATTTTCATTGTATTGGCCGCCTGTCAAATACTTGAGCGTCGCTTTTCAATTTGCCCAAAGCCCCATTTTGTATTTGTTTACTGGCACGAAACGATATGAGTGCCTGCACCCCACGTTTATGCGTCTTTCAATTGGAGCGAAAATTCTGTCTGCTGTGGCTGTAGTAGAGGTAGGGCATGGTTAGGATAGGTTAGGCTAGGCTAGGCTAGGGTAGGGTCGGGTAGTCTAGGGGGACAGACATTCATTCTAATGAACCAGCTCGAACGCTTGTCGAATGCCGTCGCACATTTGGGTCACCAGGCATTGGAGGCTTTACTTTTGAGTCGTCAATTACCATTTACGCTTCATTAAATGCCACGCGCATTCGTTGACTACTGCCTGCTGCCCGCTGCCCGCTGCCTGCTGCCCGCTGCCTGCTGCCTGCTGCCTTCCTGCCAGCATGCAATAGGGCCAAGTAGCGGGACCCCGAGCTTTCCCTCCGCCCAGCAGCGCGCAGCAGCCCCCGTCGAGCGATGTGTTAAATGTGGCACTACAGTGCGTATGAGTGCTGTTATGTGTGACATTTATGCATACACAATGCCACACTCGACACGCCACTCCACAGACCCTCTTCACTTCCACTCCAAGAGCGCGCAGTTAATTAATCTTTACCATTTGATTAATGAGCGAATTGATTTAGGCATCACGTGGCGCGTGTCGCTCACAAATCAACAAATACAGCAATATCAACAACAACAACATGCCGTGTTAGTCTAGCCATTTTTTTGTTGTGATCTAGGCGCTGTGCTGCTCTCAAGCACTTAAGCCGTATCGACAAGAAGCACGCTCCAGCGCATTCGATTTAAGCTTGTTATTTTATAGACAAACCTATAAAGGAAAACAGGCGCCAAGCGCTTTGCATATCAGAGAAAACATTTGAAGTTTACAGCCAAACCGCCATCAAATCAAAATCGTAAGCAACAAAAAAAGAAACAAAAGCGAAAACCATAAACTGATTTGCTCAGCTCAAAAAACGAGAGTTGAAGGCTGATGGCGAATGCCAAACGTCGTAAGGCAGCTGCTGCTTGTTAACCGAAAACGGAAACGGAACCAGAAAACCGGACGATGACAATGAGCTGAGGATGACAGAGCCAGCAAAGCAAAGCGCTTGAGAGGTGCTAGAAAGCAAAGCATAAACGAAAAGGAATGCAAAAGAGAATGAGAAGAAAACTATTATCGTGGGAATGTTGAATATGGAATACCCTAGACAATTTTGATTGCATAGCAAAGCAGAGCAGAGATGTTTAGAGAAAGTCATTATATCAGAGATGTTTATGTAAATATCTATATAATCTTTAAATAACATTTAATATATATTTTTAGTGAAACCTAATCTATTTGTAAATGAGTTTGTGCAATAAAAGACATTTAAAAGGTCAAAAGCTTTGTTAGTTTACTATATTTACAAACACTGTCTAAAAATGCAAGTATTTATCTAATGGACTCTTAAATATCTCCTGTTATGCCTCAAATATTTCGTGACATAATTACAGAACCCTTTTCTGAGGCACCTATTTAGAGCAGCTGGCTAAAAAAAAAAAGGACACAAAAAAAGAAAGAGAACAGAAACATTCTCAGTTGAGCAGAGCAAAAATATAATGTGGCTGAAAATGTGAGCCCAAAACCGGATGACGGTTCACATAGGGCCAGGACATTCGAACCGCATGTCCTGCGACGCGCTGCCTCAGTGTGCGAAAATTAGCCAGGCAAATATGTCGCACTTACGCTGCTAGCGGAAGACGGCCAAAATGCCTGCCAGAGATACCAAAAACGGACACGCACACACACACACACACAGCAACAGACACAATGTCCGGGCACAGCAATTGCCTAGGCTAAAAGTGGGCGGTTTGGGCTCTCTTGGCTAGGCTTGGCCTGGTCTGTGCCTCGCAATTGTTGACGTTTGCGCTTTTTGCTGCTGGGTCTTTGCGTTGTGCCATGTGACACAAATGCGTCGAATTATTGTCATATGAGGTCACTGTCCCTGTCTCGTCACACGCAGTGAAAGTTATACCCAGTTACACACACACACACACGTAGCCTCCATAAACACACACAGCCTCAGTTAGTCTGACACTTTGGCGTTTTTGTTTGTTTGTGCTGTAGGTCTATTATGTAGCTGGAAGTCAAGCAAATGTTCGCTTGAACATTGCCACAACAGCTACGGCAGCAACAACTCGACTAGCAACTTGTGGGCGCTTGTAGCACATTTTGTGGTACATACACTTACACGCACACACACACAGTGAGCAGATAACAGAAATTGCTCATACGCCACATAGTCCCCACTCGAAAACCAACTTTTACAACTGTTGCAGTCATGAATAGTTGACTAGCGACTCACGTAACAAACTTCACATTGAAAATACATATAAAAATGGTTAAGGGGTTGCTGTAAATATGTGACTAACAGATACCCTGGCGGCAGTTGAAGAAATTCATAAATTTTGCATATATAATAATGCTTATTTTTCTTAAGACTATATAAAAATCTACCGAGCAGCATTTCCATTCCTCTTGAAAAAAAAGCAACAGTAATACATAAATAGTTTATTTTAGTATCGTATTCTCAATGTACCCTTTACTGTTACTATTTACAGGGTATATTATCAGTTATTGATAGTTACATATAAGGCAGAAGTCAGACTGCCCAAGCGCCTTCACTTACAATTCTATTAGTTCTTTATCTCTTGGCTGCCTTTTTGGTCCGCCTCTTGCTTGGTCGGTCGCTCGCTCACTCTCATAAAATATGAAAGCGCAGTGAAATTTATTCAGCTCGACCAACATGAAATATGCGCATTCAGTTTATGAAGCTGATTGGCCCCCAGCGAAATGGACGCCGGCGGCCAAAGTCGGATTGAAAGTTAAAGTTAAAGTTGAATCTGAGGTTGAATTTCAGTTTCAGTTTCAGTTTGGGGCCAGCTCACATGGGGCAAGTGCCACTCACACACACACATATACTCACACACACACACCCACACAGATAAGCCCAGCTGCAATCACTGGCTGCTCACTAATTGCGCTGCTCTTAGAGCCGGGCCAGGCATTAATCGTTGTCACGCCCACTGGTCCACGCTGTCCAGCTGCGCATCGAATCAATAATTCATAGCCCTGCACACATTGACGACACGTTTCTTGGCAATAAAATGAAGATGAATAAAAAGGAAAAAAAGAAAAACGAAATGAAAAATGAAAAATGAGAAATGAGGAAAATGCTGCAAATGCTCGACAATAATTTAGCGCGTCTGCCAGGTTCTGCTTCTGGTTTCTGTCCAGGACTTGGTGTTTGGTGCCTCATCGAGCCAATGCCGCAGTCTTTCCATCGACCTGCTGCCTGGGCCTGAACATGAAATGACTTTATCAAAGCGGACTTCGCTGCTCTCCCAGCTACACTCATTCACTGGCATAGTTACATATAGATACAACTGTATACGCACACGCATACATGGACACGCTTATTCACATATACATGTATATGAAATGAATGTCAGGCGCCAACATTGGCAGCAACTGTCGCAAAATTTCCTTTGCACTCATTTTTTTTTTTTTTTTTTAATACTCTTGCCTTGGATATTTTAGTGAAGGCATTGATTGTGTTTCATAAGATAATTAAAGGACTTAAATTATATATTCACAGAAGTTGTAGATATAATTTGTATAGAGAGAAGATATATTAGGTTATTTGATATATATATATATACAGTCGAGTCTCGATAATTCGTGCCCCATTAAATCTAAAATCGCGATAAATCGAAAAAGATCTATCCCCATGAAAGAAATTCATTCTCAATAATTCTCGTTTATTTGAATTTCTGTGTAAATCGAAAAAAAAAAAAAAATGAATTTGCCATTTCGAATTGTCTGGACTCTACTGTACTTATTTATAAGAATCAATCAATCAATCATTATAATTATATATATTTTTATGTAACTATTTATTTTTATGTTGAATCACTATGAAAGCGCATTCACTATTCGCCTATCTACAGTTCATTTTTCTACTTGTTTTATTTGTTATTTTGTTGTGAGCTATCTTTGTTTTTTTTTTTTTTTTCTTTTCTTCCGATTATGTCGTGCAGCTCTGTGAGTGTCCTTTGATATTGGGACGAGCCATGAAATATTGTTGTAAGTGTATAAATGTTTGGGTCTGTACATATGTAAGTGTTGTGTGTGTGTGTGTTTGTCTTTTTGTGTGTATAAGGTTACAATGAAAAACTACTGAACAGTCAATTCATTGCTTTAAAACTAAGT